GACAATCTTATAGAGTACGAATCCCTTTTTTTTTTTATTTTGATCAGTGAAAAAAGAGTATTAATACTATACATAATATAACACATCAAGGTGAAATTGTGTAAGACAATAATATAAGAGAGTAGCAGTATTATACACAATATAACAAGCTAAATGACTTCAGAGATAGTAATTGTTATCTTCACAGCCATAGTGGCTAGAGAAACACGCTTGCCATATCTATGACTGCGAACATAGTAATTGTTATCTTCATTATATAATTCTTACTATAAAAAAATTAGAATTCCATTTACATTATACCCATAAATATGTATAAGAACTAAGATTTTATATATATCCTTGCCACGTCTGTCCTATGTGTTAGAATTTTCCATGTCAAATTGTCTGTGTCATGTTGTATTTGTATACCACGTTCATGTATTAGCTATCTAGGTGCATAAAAACACATCTTCAGCAAGCATCAATGCAGCGTGCTCAAGTGCTCAACAAATATATACTAGTTATAAACAACTTAAACACCAAACTACAACCATGGTTGTTAGAATTGTACAAGTAGCGATTCGATTTTTACGATTCGATACAAGTTTCATGTTACATGATACGAACCGCACATTTGTATTGGAAATTCCTTTGAATCGCAAGATTCAATGTATCACACGGAATCGTGCGTATCGCATGATTTAGATGAATCTAGCAATTCCAAATTTTTTTTTAATGATAAAAAGCATAATTTTCCTGTTTTTTTTTTTTTCCCTCCTCTTTTTTGATCAATTTCCTACAAGGGTTTTCTTCAGATCAAACCCACAATTCAAACAAGCCTCAAAACAGACCAAATCAAAGAAGAAGAACCTCCGATCGTAGAGATGTAGAAGATGAGAGAACAAATCAACATACTTATAACCTATTCTTCACTGATTTCACCATCTAGTTCCATCAGGTCTGCATCTTGCCTTCACTCTTCTCTTTTCTTTATATCTCCTTCTCCCTCTTTTTATTTATTATGATTGATAATTTCTTCAATTTTTTTTTTTTTTTTTTGACAAACAAGCACAACATGTATCTAGTAAAAGAAAGAGAATATGTGAACTTGTGTCTATCTGTGACTCTTCATTTTTTTAGCTCTTGCTTTGGTTGCTGTTGAAAATAAATGTGCTTGGACCAATACCATAAAGTTGTGCATAGATAAATACATCAACTAGTTGCATTATATACCTTTAGGCCATGTTAGTTTGGGCGGACTGGATTAGCATTCCCATGACTAATAGTCCTAGGACTACGAATCCGTTGAATTATGTATCCTGTCTTAACTAATAGTTAAGTTTAAAATAATTAGTCCGTACTTCAATTGTTTAACCAAATATCGGATTAATAATTTTATTGGGCTATTAGTCCAATCCCAAGCTCATGTCCACCCAAACAAACATGGCCTTAGTTTAAAGGCTTTATTTTTGGATAACACACTATTGGTTAATAGTAGTGCAACCCTGCTAGCATTTGCTTATTAATTAATGTAGAAACTAATAATTACTTATTAAAAATTATAAATTAGATTAATATGTAAATTATTTGTTTAATAAAAACTTCATTATATGCAAATATATATAAATTTTAAATATATTTAATATAAAAGTGAATCTTACAATTCACGATTCAAAATTTTAACAAAACAATTCACGGTTCTTTTCGCGATTCGACAACCATAACTATAACCATAGTACATGAACAGTAAAGAAGAAAACATTCAACTGATCATACACAAAGCTTCCAATTTATGGCATTTCCTCAATTGGGGTTTCCAAATAAACCTACAAACCTCTTAACTAGAAAAGACACCTTGTAGTTCCATTACATGGTTCGAAATTGAAATAAGAAATGTCGAAAGCATTGATCAAATTTCAGATAGTGAATCAATGGAAGAAAGGAAACAACAAATTGGGAGCTAGCAACGCAATACCAGCTACAATAATTGAATGTAATAAACCTTGCAAATTCAATGTAAAGAAGGAAGATGGTAGGGAATGATCAACAAAGAGAAGGAAGGTTGTCCTATTCCTTGTTGAAGAATAGTTCGAACCCAGGACAGCAACATGAAACAACCCAAAATGATATTTGAGGTAGGCTCCATATCAATAATAATAACTCATACATACCACTTGACATCAAATGCTTCAACACCAATAATCAAGGGAAATTTAGAAAAAAACAATAGAATTAGACACAAAGAAAATGAGGTAATAAGCATGGACACATGACACAACACGGACAAACTGACATGAAATTTTTTTAAAATGTAGGACACGACAAGTGCGCGACACACGTCAAATATATAGTTTTATATATTTATTATATAGCATATATAAGGATAAGCAATTGTAAATATATGTCATATATAACCATACCAAACTAAGCCTTGTGTCCCAATCAAATGAGTTTGGCTACATGAATCCTTTTTCGCCATTTAAATCTATCAAGGACTATGTGTTCAATTAAATTAAATAAATTCATATCTTTTTCACTATAGCATTCCATATCAACTTAGGTCTTCCCCTCCCCGTAGCATCTCCATCAAATTATTTTTTTCAAACTTGTAATGTCTTTAATATATATATATATATATAAGCGATAGATACGTGTTAGTGTGTCCGAGTTTGCAAAATTTTTCAAAATAGGACATGTTTGGACATGTCTCCAACAAGTGTTAGAAAGTGTCCGACAAATGTAAATTCGTGTCTATCCGACACGACATGCCACACCACTTCACCTTCTTAAAAATATCCGGGTTTCTTAGAAAATAAATAATGCATGTTGAAACAATAAAAAAACCAATAAGAGAGAATAAATATAAAACAACTCTTAAGGTTAACACAACTACATGTGAAATAAAACGACTAAAAGACGAACATGTAATCTCCTCTCTGTATGACTAAAACCAAATGAATGAAATATTTCACACTAGACTTTGGTACCACATTCTTACTGCATTACAACATCATAGAACTAAAGCAATACTTCAAATACAATTTGCATCAGCTTATGCCATTTTCTCTGTATTGCAATTTGATATAACTAGCTGATTCCCTCACTTGTCCCTTGTTTGTGCTTTTATTTTATTTATTTTTTTCCCGCTTGCCAACAATCCTTGTTTAATATGATCATCTCTTTAACATGCTGAAAGATTGAGAACCCCAATCCATGTGACTTAATATTTTTAATATTTTCAAGGAAAATTTGAGAAATTCAAAAGCATAATAAAAACTTCAAATCAGCAAAAGGAATAAAAATATTACATATATGGGTATAATTGGCTGAAATCTAAATTCATGAATGGGTTTTCTAACAAAACCGCTCATGCTTAGTATATCAAAATGCAATGCAGTTGTATCTTTTATAATTTCTTGAAAAACAAAAGTTAATTAAGCCAAAAATAAAGAAATATATTAGAACTCCCACAAAAATTTTAAATCTAAGTCTTAATCTTATTAATTATAGCATAACAAGGAGAAGATCTACATAAACAATCAATAATTTATTTGAAATCAAAGTGAGAAATTTTTACCACAATTAAAAATCCAACACGTGGGAATGTGTAATAAATGGAGAGAGGAGGTTTCACCAAAAAGTTTCATAAAAACACCTACAAGCTAGAACTTTATGGGAATTAATGAATCACAAGCAAGAAAGCCTGCTCAGATCCCTTCAAAGGCTTAGAGCATGAGAGGAGAGAAAAAAATAATGACGCATACATCTCAACCAAACCTAATCCTACTGCATGGCACTTATATTAGTACTAATGCAAGTAGCATAGACCAACAAACTTCCCCCTCAACATCTGAGATTGATAATTCTAGGGGATATGCACAACCCAAAAGCTTTATACTAACATTGAACCTTCAAAGGCAACAGAAATGGTTTCCTAAAACTTGCTGGGTAACTAGCCCATTGAATGACATGTGACCTCATGATTTATAAATATCAAGATGAACAATAACGCAAATGGCAAGAAAAAGAGAAAGCCAAGAGATTCCAAGTAAAAAGTAAAAGTAAAAATAAAAATAAACAAAAGAAGAAGTCGAAAACTAATTAAGTTAAATTTGCTAAATGATCATCGACTTCATGATTAAAATTTCTATTGCATGACAATAGTTTCTTTCTGAAACTGTCTCCTTAGATATGTCCATGGATCCTATAATGAAAAGGTTTTCATCCCAAACAATTTCAGTATTCAAAAGATATGGAAATAAAAAATAATCATTGAGCCCAAGCCCTTACATCCACTACAAACCCCAGGTTTCTGAGCTTCCTACATCTTTATTTATTACATCACAAACACATATACAATAATTTATTATATCAAGATAGGAAAAAAAAAATATCTTCCACATTATGTATATTCGAAAAAAAATATGCACAACCTTCATGTCGGCACCGACTTAAAAATGTCCATGTTTCTGAACTTATCAATTACACATGTACTTAAAATGAAACAAAACCAGTGGAACTGTAAAATTTTTGTCACAATACAGAGTTTGCAGTTCCATAGGAACTATAAATTTATTCAATTAATATATTCGCAGGGCGTGATACTCCTTGTCATTTTTCAATAATAACAAGGAAATTTGTGCTACAGTTTAGCAAATAAGAAAATTAAAAAAAAATTAAAAAAAAAACAGATACACGCACACCAAATTTAACAGTCCATTTTGTGATGAATGTATGATCACCATGATTCAGAACATAGTAAATTAAAATGAAAAACACTCAAAACTTATCAAATTATATAGAGACAACACAAAGCAAGTGGGAGACATGGTAATCCAATTTTGCAATTGGAAGCTACGACCCAATAATTATCAAACAATTAACACATCGCCAACAATTTGAGTATGCGTTGAGCGTGTGTGAGAGAGAGAAAGTGTGTTATGAACAAAATGTGTGTGTGTGTGTGTGTGTGTGTGTGTGTGAGAGAGAGAGAGAGAGAGAGAGAGAGAGAGAGGTGATACCAGTGGGAAATGAGAGAGGAGAGTCGGATCTCTCGCAAGGTGGAGTTCTCTTGCGGGTTACCAGAGTTCTGGACCGCATGTTGCCGCCGGTTTGCTAAGTCTCAGCAGCAACGACGAGCAGAGGAGCAAGCGCCGCGACCATAACACTTCATTTCCTTCAGTGGTTAGGGTTTTCTCGAGAAAATTCCGCACTTTCTCGAAAACCAAACGCGTGTACAAAATGACTGTACACTGGAGTAGTGTATTTTCCAATTTAAATAGTATTTCAGGGTTCCTGTGCATCACGATATGCACTATTTTCCAATTTACACTGATCCGGTAATTTTTATGGAAAAATAACAAATAAGGAGAATTACATTACAGTGAATTAAATTTTTTTTTTTTTTTTAAAACACAAATATGAAGGGTTGTAAGTGATACTTTCACTTGCACCTTGTGGGATGTCCCGGGGTGGCCGAGTACGCCCGACAATTCAGACTCTTGATTTTTTATGTAGGCTTACGAGAGTGTAATATGAAACATAAATTAGAGTTCAGATTTGGCAAATTTATAAAAAGTTCACTAATCGCAAGATTTGCCAGAAATAAATTGTATTATCACATTTCGGAGTCGCTACTTAATCTTTTGAAAAACTTAAAAACTTATGATTCATGCCAAATACCACTTATCGTCACAACCAAAGATGCCTCGGTTTGAAACCTTGGGTATGAGAGGAAAAGGTCATTAATTGAACACTCTCACTTACTTGATCACAGAATCGGCCTCTACTAAACCATAATATGAGTTTTATGGATAATATATGTTCATATTCTAATTATTATTAATGATATATGTGAAACAAACAACTATAGACTATGTTATTCATTTGGGGATGCTTTGATCTCATGCATTTTGAAAGGGGTTTTGGAACATGTATTACTCAAGGGAAATTGATTTCATATGCATAAAGAATCAATACCATTCCAATCTAAGCGACACAATCTTCATCCACCAGCAATTATAGAGATAGATCAATTAAACAAATAGTCAAATGGTAAGATGTTGGATATAATAAGAAAATAATGCACATGCAACATGCTAAAGCTATAAATGTTCACCTAGTATTTACTTGCATCCAGCAAAAGGATGAAGAAAAATGTTAGCAAAATATGCATGATTCTTTATGCAAAATGCTAATGCAATACATACACAAGAATACTACTGAGGACATGTGAATCATCTCAAAGTATGAGGTAACACAAAATTACATAGGAAATGATAAGCCCACAAATGCAAATGAGCTGAATCTGAATGCAAGGCATATATATGATGAAAAAGAAAACGTGATGTTATCAACAATAGGGAAAATATGGAAATAAAAGGGATAGAAAGAAATAGTGATTAGAAGACATACATAACAAATGAATAGAAAGAAATGGAGGTTGGAAGTTATTGCAACAAGCCTTACAATGAAAGCAATAAAAAGACGTGGGGTTGAAAATTATTACAATAATGAAATGAATAGAAAGAAGTAGGGTTGGAAGTTATTACAATAATGAATTGATTCAACCAAATAAAAGTTGAATCTAACAAATCATGAGAGAATATAAAGAAAAGATATAACAGGAGTTGTAAGTGCCCAAAAGATCATCCGCCGAAAATTGTCCTGCTTTGCTTTGTTTTGTTTTGCGTAGAAAAGTCATATGGCCGAACAAATAAATGGTCTAGCCAAATGAAAGACTGCTGGTCCTACCCTCTATCTGGCTAGCTGAACAGAAGATCTGGAAAACCTTGTTTTCGTGCAGCAAAGCCAAAATAGAGCAAACAAAACATTTCTAAATGATACTCATTCCTTCTACTCCTTCCTATCATGGCAATGATCAAAGAAGATGTAGATAGGTTCATCCATCATACCACAACAAAAGATGCTATAAGATATGTACAAAAACTATTAAATGAACAAAAACTAATATGTGCATGAATTGAAACTACAAAGAAAGACAAGCCCAAAGAAATAGATGGAAACTTGCATTCATCTCTCTGTGGACAAGAGTAAATTAATATACAAATCCATACTATTAATTGGAGAGATCAAATTGCCACCACTTTTAAGGGAGAAGCTTAAGTAAGGGATTATATCATCAAGAATAATTGGAAACTCATCCTCTTACTCATGGAATATGGATTCAACATCCATTTCCATACTCAAAGCTGATCGAAAAGAGAGTTTTCCAACACTTTTGATAAATAACTAATAAAAAAAAAATCACCTCGACTTCAAAGAAAACAAAGGGAAAGAAAAAGATAGCAAAGGATCACCTAAGGGGTTGCATGAAACAACCACAAATATCCATTAGGATTGAGTATGGGTTGAATCACATGAAGCAAAACACTTGGATAATGAAAGAGAGATAAGAAAAATGCATGAAAGTAAAGAGAGGTTACACTACCATTATATGGGTGGGTGGCAAAGCCCTCCGCATCCCAAAGCTAAGAGAATTACATTAAAAATAAAAAAATAAAATAAAAAATGAGAAGAAAAAAGTTACATGAAAGTAAAAAGAGATTGCACTATAATTCTATGGGTGGGTGACTGTCACCCAAACCCGTTCATTTAGGTTTAGCATCGTAACCAGCCAGTAATCTTGGGATTATCAAAGGCCTCTGAATGGATTAACAAAATTAAGGGGCTAGCGGAAGCAGATATCATAATGATAGAGTTGTGCAGACGTACATGAGACAAAAAATTTAAAACTTTTAATACATATACGCGATGTCATATTCACATTGGTCTTACATTACCACATTCCACATATAGAATGTACAAAACTTGTCCAGACTAAAAAACAAAAGTAATACAAAAGTCACAAACTTGGTTCACAAATTCGACCACGTGGAATGTTTTAGGAACCTCCTTGGGAGGCGCACAGGTTGGCTGACACAAACTAACCTTCAGGCAATCATCTCTGAACCTGGTCACGTGCCTGATCACTTACATACATAATAATACAATGAGCTGGAGCCTAGTGAATAATAAGAAAATAAAGGCTTTAATAAATGATATCCATGACAGATTCATAAGTCAGAAACAGATTTTTATACATATTTAGATTCAAAATTCATAGATAATCATACATGGTATATCCATTAGCGCTAACAGACAGATGACTTATGATTACATGAGACAGTTATAAAGACCTATATGCAGAGCAAATACAGACAGATAATGGTTATGCTTAACCAGTTCCATGATGGTACCTCCGGTACCAGGTAACATATAGATATTACATGATGCTAAGGATGCCACAGTACATTTCAAAAAATTGGGCAATCATTCATCTATATAGAAAGTAACATTTCAGAAAACTAATCATACAATTTTAGTCAGAAAAACACTTATAATCAAACATAGCTTTGCAGAGTTATTACTCACAAATAGCTCCAGTAGCAAAATAGTCTGAACAAATGGATCAGATAGCCTATAGCGCGTGACCTACACAAACACACAATGGGTACATATTGAAATACACGCTTGGAAAACACTTGACTTATTCATTTTCTATCTTGATGTGTTCCTAATCCTTATCATCCTCATTATGTCTTAATTAATGCTTAGGAATGCCTAAGATGCTATGAGGATGTCAAAATACACTTTGAAACACTTAGCCAAAATTCTGAAAACAGGGTCTTCACTCGAGCGCAACTTTGGTCACTCGAGTGGTTTGCAAAACTCTACAAAACTTCTAGGAGCTCTCATTTTACGCTCGAGCACAACTTCCTACGCTTGAGTGGAGGATCAAAAATAAGGGTGGTCGCTCAAGCGCAGGTTCTGCCGTTCAAGCCAACCCCCAAACTCTACAAAAGTACTGCGAGCTCGCATTCTTCACTCGAGTGCAGATTCCACCGCTCGAGCGAAGAGTGCGAATTCTGGAATTTCCAGATTGCTCTCTAAGCTCTAAATTTCAATTCCAAAGCTTCAAAACACATTCTTTTTTAATCTTAATAAATCTTAGTTGACACATAATTAATTAATCATAACTAATCACAAATCCCACATAATTTAATTAGTCTAATTTGACTTCCTTTAGAGCCCTGTTAATTATATTTAAATTTATCAATCTAAATCAGATTTTTAATCAAACTTCCAAAAGGCTCCAAATATTAAATTAAACTTACTGTCATCATTAATTTTGATTTCCCAAATCAGTTAGGCCTTCAATTTCTGATTAGACTCCAAATTTTTGTTAATAAATTATATATTCAAATTGGACACCCATAAATAAATTTAATTCGTAATAATCACAATTCTCAATTCTCATAATTTAACTAACTTAATTAACTCCAATTTGGACCTAATTAATCAAATCTCAAGTTTACTAAACTAAATTAGATATTTAATTAAACTCCCAAATGGGTCTGTAATTAAAAAATTAAATTGATTCAACTGCTTAGTTTCACTTCCTTAAGCCATTTGGACCCTTGATTTCTAATTCCAAACTAAATCTTTAATAGAATCATATACGAATCAAATTCCACAATTATCATAAATCTCAAATTAAATTTGGATAACGACTAATTAAAATCCCAAATCTCCTTAATTAACCAAATATAAAATATTATACGTGGCGAGGTCGTCACATGCCAAGTGACCGGTAGTTGTTTCTTGGAGTGTGAATGTGATATGAGAACTATTTTGCTAAGGTTCTAGGTCGTTAGACAACCGAGAGTTATTTCCCAGAAGTTGGATCTGTTTAAGGCATGAGTACTGTAGGGTATGTCAGTGAGACCTTTACCCTTGACATTTAGTTTTGTGAAAAGCGATAGGTTCTTGTGGCTTGTTAGAGATATTCTTGACCATTTTGTCTAATCCTGCTAAATGGGGACCCACACGTAATGGGAGAAACTTTTAGGAACTTGTTGTTGAGTAGAAGTCATTTGCAATTAGTTGGTGGAAGTGTTGGTTCAATCTCTGTTTTATTTGGATTTGTCTAAACTTTAGATATTGAAATGTTTAATTTTGGGGACAAAATTTCCTAAGGTGGGGAGTTTGTAACACTTTGTATTTCTTAGACTAGTGGGTTTTCTCTTAACACTCTCATTATTGTACTTGGAGCCTCTTTGGTTCATTTTGGAATATTGATTAAGGTACTATCATAATGGTAACGTAAGATTGAATCAAAAACATTGATTCGAATAATTGTCCCCTAAGTAGTCTTCAGTTTTTTGCCTTTTTCTCTTTCCACACTTTGAATTTGGATGTAAG